AAATAATCAGGTATTGGTCAAAGGGGTAAATGCCAGTTTCAGTTTTTAATGTTCTATGAAATACATTGTATGGACAAAGGGAAGCAATTCCTAATTCCTATGCAAATTAATTATCCAAAGGTCTAAAATGATATATTCTAGAGGAAACTTGGTACCCTTCTTCTGACAAACCTATAAAGATATACTGTACACACAAGAAGAATAACTTCACAGTGGTACACTTTTACATAAAACTTTGATTCATAACAAATTAACAGTAAATCCTCCTGTACAATATGATGGGAACTTTGTCTTTATTTTGTTCTCCATTCCAAAAATAATATATATATATCTTTTGCCTTAGCTTTCAGTACTTTCAGTACTTTGATTATACCCAGCGATACCCTTACTTCTTATAATTACCAAGCAAAGGTAAACTAATATGTCGGCACTTCCTTCAAAACGATAGTCGGAAGAGATGGGAAGGTTCTCAAAACCAGAAAAAGTGGGGGTTTTTTAATCTCAATTTAAAGCTTTTTAACTTGCACTGTCAGCTTTAAGATTGTAGTTTAAACTGTAATAAATGAAACATGTAACTGAAAATGTTTGATTGAATAAATTACTTATTTATACACAGTTACAGTAAGATTACAAACAGAAAATTCTAGTCTGTCTATCTAATATAGTTATCTTGAGTCATATGATCTAGTATGGTCACTAGCTGATGTTTGGCCAGAAGCATTTAAGGAATGGTGGGTTTTTTTTACAACATTCATGAGGTCATAACAAAATAACACTAACTATTAGAATATGTCCAGAAGGCCAATGTTGTGATGACATCATGAATGTTGGAAAAATTAATTCCATTCCTTATATTTACATTTTTAAGTGTTTTGAAATTTTCGATGAAAGCAAAAAAAAAAAGGGGGGGGGGGCAAAGCAGCAGAGAGAACAATGTGTTTTTTGCAGGAAAATATAAAACTTTTGCTAGGGATCCGAGCAACAGCATGACAACAAAACAAACAAGATATATAGTTCCATATTCAAAATTTAATTAGTAGAACTTATACAAGTTGTATACTATTATCATATACTTTTCACACCTTATTTGAGCTTTAAAATCAAGCCAATCATGTTTAATGTTAATTCATATTAGACTAAGAAAACCACATCGAGGGCTGTGTCAAGGCAAACGTGAACCAAAAACCAGTAGGCTCTGTGCTATGTCATTGTAGTGTTGTGGTCACCTGTGTTATGCAAAAATGAATGTCATTTTCATCAATGGATCCAAGTATACAGAATGTAAATTGTACAAATGAGTGACCTTCACCATATTCAAGGTCGCAGTGGTCAAATATATTCAACATTTCTTCTAAAAAACCAAAATGGCTAGGGTGATAATATATGGCGAGAAATATGCTTGGATGAAGTGCTACCAAGTTTGTTCAAATGAATTATCATGACCTTCACCTTCATTCAAGATCACAGGGTCAGTTGTCTTAATAGACCTTTAAACAACTTCTATTGAATAACCAAAACAACCAGGGTGATGATATGTGGCTGGCATGGCAACACGCTGGGATTAAGGTCTACCAAGTTTGATCAAATTAACGACCTTGACTCATATTCAAGGCCATATAGATTAAATATGTTAAAAACTTATAGTGACTTCTGAAAAACCAAAATGGCTAGGGTGATGATATATGGCAAGGAGTATGCTTGGATGAAGTGCTACCAAGTTTGTTCAAATGAATTATCATGACCTTCACCTTCATTCAAGATCACAGGGTCAGTTGTCTTAATAGACCTTTAAACAACTTCTATTGAATAACCAAAACAACCAGGGTGATGATATGTGGCTGGCATGGCAACACGCTGGGATTAAGGTCTACCAAGTTTGATCAAATTAACGACCTTGACTCATATTCAAGGCCATATAGATTAAATATGTTAAAAACTTATAGTGACTTCTGAAAAACCAAAATGGCTAGGGTGATGATATATGGCAAGGAGTATGCTTGGATGAAGTGCTACCAAGTTTGTTCAAATGAATTATCATGACCTTCACCTTCATTCAAGATCACAGGGTCAGTTGTCTTAATAGACCTTTAAACAACTTCTATTGAATAACCAAAACAACCAGGGTGATGATATGTGGCTGGCATGGCAACACGCTGGGATTAAGGTCTACCAAGTTTGATCAAATTAACGACCTTGACTCATATTCAAGGCCATATAGATTAAATATGTTAAAAACTTATAGTGACTTCTGAAAAACCAAAATGGCTAGGGTGATGATATATGGCAAGGAGTATGCTTGGATGAAGTGCTACCAAGTTTGTTCAAAAAAATGATTTGACTCATATTCATGGTTTCAGGGGTCAAATATTTAAAAAAAAAAAAATAGCCTTGAATAACAGAAATGAATATGAATATGGTCAAATGTGTATGAACTTTTAAATGTCCTCATCTCATTATCAGTAAACAAAAGGTCTAGGATTGTGACGTTGCATACTGGGATGAATGGCTTTAAAGTTTGTTCAACTGAATAACCTTGTTAGATTTTCAAGGTTACAGGGGTCAAATGTGTTTAAATCATTTAACATTTTGTTTTGAGTGCCTTAGAGTCATTGATACTAACATTCTGCCTGTACACACTATTTTTGTCCACTTTTAAGGTTTCAAGTGTGATATTAATAGAGGAGTTTGGCAGACTCATTAGGCCTCTTGTTATATATATATATATATAATACCGTGTAGTCAGAGGACAAATCCATCCTATGCCAGCTAATTATGGAGCAAAATCAAGGCTACAATCTGTGTATACATGCCATTTGAGTTTGAAGATTCTATTTGTTTTATATATTTTTCCATAGATTATATACGTAGTTAGAATATACTACGGTAAATTTGGCATTCTTGAACTCAAGGAGTGAAGTGATACTAGGGTATGTGGCAAATAAATATGAATAGTCTTTTGTTGCATTCAAAAGATTTTTCTTGTTTCAGCTTCCAACAATACACAGAATGTACAGTTTGTGCCAGCGAATGTTAACCCACAACAGATTGTTTACATGGCACCAATGCCTGTTCCGGGTTTCTCCAGTCATCAAGTATCGCCAAGTAGTGCCAGTTACTCTTCACCAACTTATGGATACAAACGTAAGTCTACACTACATAATAAGATATGCAATTGATAGTGGCACAAAACTAACTAGTACATTAATGTATATCAGTGTCACACAAAACTGTAACTAGTACATAACAGTATATCAGTAAGTGTCACACAAAACTGTAACTAGTACATTACAGTATATCAGTAAGTGTCACACAAAACTGTAACTAGTACATTACAGTATATCAGTAAGTGTCACACAAAACTGTAACTAGAACATTAAAGTATATCAGTAAGTGTCACACAAAACTGTAACTAGTACATAACAGTATATCAGTAAGTGTCACACAAATCTGTAACTAGTACATTACAGTATATCAGTAAGTGTCACACAAAACTGTAACTAGTACATTACAGTATATCAGTGTCACACAAAACTGTAACTAGAACATTTAAGTATATCAGTGTCACACAAAACTGTAACTTGTACATTACAGTATATCAGTAAGTGTCACACAAAACTGTAACTAGTACATTACAGTATATCAGTGTTACACAAAACTGTAACTAGAACATTTAAGTATATCAGTGTCACACAAAACCGTAACTTGTACATTACAGTATATCAGTAAGTGTCACACAAAACTGTAACTAGAACATTAAAGTATATCAGTGTCACACAAAACTAACTTGTACATTAAGGTATATCAGTAAGTGTCACACAAAACTGTAACTTGTACATTACGGTATATCAGTAAGTGTCACACAGAACTGTAACTAGTACATTACAGTATATCAGTAAGTGTCACACAAAACTGTAACTAGTACATTACGGTATATCAGTAAGTGTCACACAAAGCTGTAATTTTGGGACTTCTTTTGCTTCAAAATCTTATACACTTCCTAAAGTGTTGTTCAGATCTGGTATTTTCCCTGGGGCTGAAGGGATGATGCACCAATCGTAAAGAAAAATAAATCACCCATATCCTGCCCCCTCCCTATATTACCTCATACACACATGACAGGAATAGAGAGGCCGGTACATCTATGCTACATATGCATGATACAAGGCTATTAGCCAGCCAACCATCTGCTTGTCTTTTAGATTGGGCAGTTTTCTTCAAAAGGCCCATTTAGACGGGCAACTTCTCACTATATATCCTTACTATTTCACTTAATTTTGGACAAGCAGTTTTGTCAAAATTGGCTAAATATCAGCTTTTTGGACAGGTAGGTTTGAAATCCTAGCTAAATGCCTGCGTAATACTTCATAATACTACCGGATATATATATTTTTGCTGGGCATTTAGAGATAAATATACCAGTTTCAACATTGGATTGGCCCTTAGGTCCAGTCCTACCCCTGGAGATTAGTCCCTGGGTCATTGCAGGGGAACAGTCTAGATCCCAACCCTATGCCTGTAACCGTATATACGGTTCCTAGACATGACAAGACAAACAGAATCATGCTTTCAGGATTTGTCTCTAGCCCAGCCTTGCCCCTTGTAACTAATCCCTAGGTCATAACATATAACACATTGTGATTCCCACCACATAACATATAACACATTGTGATTCCCACCACATACCAATAACACATTGTGATTCCCACCACATACCAATCAAAATTGTGATTCCCACCACATACCAATCAAAATTGTGATTTCCACCACATACCAATAACAATTGTGATTCCCACCATACCAATAACACATTGTGATTCCCACCACATACTAATAACAATTGCAAGACACAAGAGACCAATAAATTTGTGCTACCAAGCTTAATATTGGCCTTTTGTCTGCTCTCACCCTTGGGGTAAGTACCTGACTCATAACATGGAAACAGTTGAGATGTGGATCCATTTCCATGGAAATCAAATCTTACACAAATGAAGGAATTAAATCTCCAGGAAGGCAATTTTCAACCAAATTGTCCTGATAACATGCCTGGTAAAAAGGAGTCAAATTGAAACATTTGCTTGCGCTACTTCCTAAACTACTGGGCCGTTTTTTGCCAAATTGCTGTGGTACCATGTACAAAAATATTTGGCTTTCCTAGCTTCCACACTACTGGGCAGATTTTACTTTGTTTCCTAAATAGTGGGATAGCAATTCAAGGCATTTTGGCTCCTCCTGTTGTATATAAGAATAATTCAGCTCCAAAGGAGCTTGGGGGACTATGTCCAAAAGGGAGAACTTTTCAGTTTTGTATTAAAACTTTAAATGCCTGTCCTATTTGAGCAGTTGATTGTATTTCAACCAAGTTTGTTAATAGTCATTGCTGGTACCAAGAAATTGAACATCAAATAAGAATAGGTTGTTGTCCCCCTTGGTACTGAGAGGGAGAGCCCAAAATTAAATGAGGAAATATTTGTAATATTACTTAAATATGGAATATTTTGCCAAGTGAGTGTTGCAGGCTCTCATGGCTGCTTGTTGTTGATTTAATTTCCAAATAAAAAGAAATTACGGACCGTATAAGTAGTATAGGGCTGCCATGATTCCCCTACCTCATGATACAATATGCATCCCAGTATGATACTTATAATACAATACGTATCACGATACACATATCTGCTTGAAAGGCAACTTAATTACTAATGATCAAGTGCAGGATTTAACAGAGTTTTGTCATAGGCTTAAAAAGTAAATATTGTCATCATATATTTTTGTATGATTTTAGTCCTTTTTACACTGTACCAAATCTTTACTGAAGAATTCCAAAACAATAAGTAAACTCACCCAGTTTTATCAAAAAAATCATTGGTAATTTCAGTACCCTTAATGTATCAGGCGAACAAAACAATTTAAAACGATACACAGGAAAGTATCACAACACAATACAGTACCATATATGCATAGTTGCAGCCCTACTTATAGGATATGCATTGTTTTTTTTTGTTTTTTTTTATCCAGACATTGAAAAAGAAATAAACTACCTAACAAGGAAACTAGGAAGAGAATGGCGTTTTTTCATGCGCACCTTGGGAATATCAGATTACGACATGGCTGAGATGGAACAGCAACACCCACGTAACATGCGTGAACAGATCCATGGCTGTTTTGTGATCTGGGTACAGCAGAATAAAGGGGCCGTACACAAGAAGATGCTGACGAAGGCTTTGATGGACGTTTCTGTGGAGAGATTTGATCTTTGTGCTAACCTGGAGGAAAATGACTTTTCTTAATTTTGTATAAAGAGAAGAAACACGGTTATGAAGATTCATGACCTGTATGCTTGTCCTTTGATTATTGAAGACATGAAGATCATGGCTGTTTTTGAAATAATCAACATATGTGTGTGTATTATGGTGGAATATATAATGAGGGTGAGAAAATGTGGGGAAAATATTAATAAGCGACCCAAGTTGATGAATCCCAGTTACATACGCCACCATAATGGGCAATCATTCATTGATTATATCTTTCTACCAAGTAAGATGTAATGAAAGTCTTTTTCGTGTCTGCCTCATTGTCCATACACATATGATAACCAAAATGACTTAGATAATCTAGTTATTTAAATCAGGCTGTTGCATACATGTGCATGCTAATATTTGTCACATGAAGCCCGTATGTCATTTTTAGCTCCACTGGCCCCTGGGCCAAGTTTGTTCAAATGAATGATCTTGACTTATATTCAAGGTCACAGGGGTCAAATATATTAAAAACTTTAAACAACTTCTTCTGAAAAACCAAAAGGCCTAGGATTATGATATTTGGACAGTTACATGCTCAGATAAAAAAAAAAAAGCACTTGGCTTGTTCTAATTAATGACCTTTATCCATATTCATGGTCACGCAAGCAGATGGCATATCGTTCTCCATCAATGAAAAGTGTCATTACATTGCAAGCGTGTGACAGTATATTGTAAATCCTGGAAAGCAGAGTTTGATATACTGTCAATTGACCTTGATATTAATAGAAGCATTTATCTTTAGTTCATGTCCTAAAGATAAGAATATACGGCATACCATGTATTTAATTGTGGAAAAGAAAGTCACTGCAGAAATATATATGGGAAGCATTCATTTGCAAGCAGATCGAAAAAGAAATGTTGATGTTCTTATTTTGTACATATATTAATGTCTATTTCAATCACTTATAGAATGAATTTCTTAAGTCTGTGAGGTGACATGTCATTTTTCAGGCTGTGGCAATGCTGTGTGTGTATAGCTACTCAGACCTGGCAATTAGTTGTACAGGTAGTAACAGACTGACATGTTTTACCTTGATTGTAGATTGTCATCCTCTCCAACTGAGAAAAACAAATAATAAAAATAAATAAAAATAACCTATGGAAAGATCTATTTATAGATTCCTAGGGTACACACTGATTGAAACCTTAGTTGCATTGCATTTTTCAGTAAAAGTTGTAATAATTTTGTAGTTTTATTTATTCACCACATAAGTATTTACTATGAGCAAATAGAACTACAGTTTTGTTAATACTCGGTCATAACATGGATCTTCATCCAATAATCATATATATACATTTCTGGTCATTAAAATATATTACAAGGATTGTAACCCATGTTAGGATTCACCCATTTGGACGTGGTCCTTGGGACGTAACATGAACATAGATGAGTTCTCCAACCTATGACCTTAATATAAAATAGGTGGCATGAAGAAACGAACACAATCTTGCTTCCAGGATTTACCCTGGGGTTCCACCCTACCTCTCGTGACTTTGTTCCTTGATCATAACATATAAACGATAAAAATACCCACCAAATGAACATTTTTAATGATGCAATTAATTGCATAGACAAGAAGAAACAAGTAAAATCAGAAATGGCCCAGAAATAACATCTTCGTAATACGGAAATGCACCAGATCCCATAAAATTGTATAATACGGATCTCAACATTTACTGCGAACCTCTCTTAGATTCCTTGGGTCCCGAAAATTAGTTGTAGAAGCTGAGATTGAGATTACAAAATAAACATGAGAACAATACATGCCCTGTGGATCTTTTGTTACTTTGAGTGCTAGTCACAGCTAAAGTTGTGCTGTAAGTCTGTGGCCACCACTGCTAGTCACAACTATAGTTGCACATTCTATAAAATGGTATTTTATATGGTCAAAAGCTAATCGTGTTGGTTATAATTTAATCAAACACATAAAATAACCAATTTCCATTGGTATTAATATGTTTTAATATTAACACAAGTATTATTTTTGCAATATTTTTACTAAAATTGTGACTTATGAAGTTATATCTAAATTTAAACTGCAGTGAAAAGTCAATTTTCCTAATTAATTCAGCACTGATTGATTACCGTATGTTATTTTAATGTAGTACTCTAAGGGTGAAAGAGGGCACTTAATTGCTTTTCTACTACAGACAAACACTACAACCGCTGAATTTAGATGATCATGGAATAGCTTTTCGACTACAGACAAACACTACAACCGCTGAATTTAGATGATCCTAGAATAGCTTTTCTAATACAGACAAACGCTGCAACAGGTGAATTTAGATGATCATAAAAAAGCTTTTCTACTTCAGACAAAAGCTACAACAGCTGAATTTAGATGATCATGGAATAGCTTTTCGACTACAGACACACACTACAACCGCTGAATTTAGATGATCATAGAATAGCTTTCCATCTACAGACAAAAGATACCACAGCTGAATTTAGATGATCATAGAAAAGCTTTTCTACTACAGACAAACGCTACAACAGCTGAATTTAGATTATCATGGAATAGCGTTACTACAGACAAACGTTACAACAGCAGAATTTAGATGATCATAGAATAGCTTTTCTACTACAGACAAACACTACAACATCTGAATTTAGATGGCAATAGAATAGCTTTTCGACTTCAGACAAACGCTGCAACAGCAGAAGTAAGATGGTAATAGAATAGCTTTCCGATTACAGACAAACACTACAACAGCTGAATTTAGATTATCATGAAATAGTTTTTTTACTATTGACAAACGTTACAACAGCAGAAGTAAGATGATCATAGAATAGCTATTCTACGACACAAAAAAAACGCACACTAAAACAGCTGAATATAGATGATCGTAGAATAGCTTTTCTACTACGGACAAACGCTAAAACAGCTGAATTTAGATGATCATAGAATACTTTTTTTACTACAGACAAACGTAACAACAGCATTATCATGGAATAGCTTTATTACTATAGACAAACGTTACAACAGCTGAATTTAGATGATCATAGAATAGCATTTCTACTACAGACAAAAGCTACAACAGCTGAATTTAGATGATCATAAAATAGCTTTTCTACTACAGACAAACACAACAACAGCTGATTTTAGATGATCATAGAAAAGCTTTTCTACTACAGACAAAAGCTACAATATCTGAATTTAGATGATCATAGAATAGCTTTTCTACTACAGAAAAACGCTACAACAGCTGAATTTAGATGATCATAGAATAGCTTTTCTACTACAAACATATAACGGCTGAATTTAGATGCTCATAGAATAACATTCCTACTACAGACAAAAGATTTAACAGCTGAATTTAGATTATCATGCAATAGCATTTCTACTACAGACAAAAGATACCACATCTGAATTTAGATGATCATGGAATAGCTTTTCTACTACAGACAAACGCTACAACCGCTGAATTTAGATGATCATAGAATAGCTTTTTTACTACAGACAAACGTTACAACAGCATTATCATGGAATAGCTTTATTACTACAGACAAACGTTACAACAGCAGAAGTGAGATGATCATAGAATAGCTTTTCTACTACAGACAAACACTACAACATCTGAATTTAGATGATCATAGAATTGCTTTCCTACTACAGACAAAAGATATCACAGCTGAATTTGGAAGATCATACAATATCTTTTCTACAGCAGACAAACGCTACAGCAGGTAATTGAGATGATCATAGAATAGCTTTTCGACTTCAGACAAACACTACAACCGCTGAATTTAGATTATCATAGAATATCTTTACGACTGCAGACAAACACTACAACAGCTGAATTAAGATGATCATATACTGGCTTTTCTACTACAGATGATCATAGAATACTTTTTTTACTACAGACAAACGTAACAACAGCATTATCATGGAATAGCTTTATTACTATAGACAAACGTTACAACAGCTGAATTTAGATGATCATAGAATAGCTTTTCTACTACAGACAAAAGCTACAACAGCTGAATTTAGATGATCATAAAAAAGCTTTTCTACTACAGACAAAAGCTACAACAGCTGATTTTAGATGATCATAGAAAAGCTTTTCTACTACAGACAAAAGCTACAACATCTGAATTTAGATGATCATAGAGTAGTTTTTCTACTACAGACAAAAGCTACAACATCTGAATTTAGATGATCATAGAATTGCTTTTCTACTACAGAAAAACGCTACAACAGCTGAATTTAGATGATCATAGAATAGCTTTTCTACTACAAACAAACATAACAGCTGAATTTAGATGCTCATAGAATAGCATTCCTACTACAGACAAAAGATTTAACAGCTGAATTTAGATTATCATGGAATAGCATTTCTACTACAGACAAAAGATACCACAGCTGAATTTAGATGATCATGGAATAGCTTTTCTACTACAGACAAACGTTACAACAGCAGAAGTAAGATGATCATAGAATAGTCTTTCAACGACAGACAAACACTAAAACTGCTGAATTTAGATGATCGTAGAATAGCTTTTCTACTACGACAACTGAATTTGGATTATCATAGAATAGCTTTTTACTGCAGACAAACGTTAAAATAGCATAATCATGGAATAGTTTTATTACTACAGACAAACGTTACAACAGCAGAAGTTAAATGATCATAGAAAAGTTTTTCTACTACAGACAAACGTCACAACAGCTGAATTTAGATGATCATGGAATAGCTTTTCTACTACAGACAAACGTTACAAAAGCAGAAGTTAGATGATCATAGAATAGTCTTTCAACGGCAGACACAAGCTACAACAGCTGAATTTAGATGAGCATAGAACAGATTTTCTACTACAGACAAACGCTACAACAGCTGAATTTATATTATCATATACTGGCTCTTCTACGACAGACAAACACTACAACAGCTGAATTAAGATGATCATATACTGGCTTTTCTACTAATGACAAACGCTGCAACAACTGAATTTAGATGATCATAGAATAGCTTTTCTACGACAGAAAAACACTAAAACAGCTGAATTTAGATAATCATAGAAAAGCTTTTCTACTACAGACAAACACTACAACAGCTGGATTTAGATGATCATATAATAGCTTTTCTACTACAGATAAACGCTACAACAGCAGAAGTTAGATGATCATAGAATAGTCTTTCAACGACAGACAAACACTAAAACTGCTGAATTTAGATGATCGTAGAATAGCTTTTCTACTACGGACAACAACTACAACAGCTGAATTTAGATTATCATAGAATAGTTTTTCTACTACAGACAAACGCTACAACCGCCGAATTTAGATGATCATAGAGTAGCTTTTTTACTACAGGCAAACGTTACAACAGCATTATCATGGAATAGCTTAATTACTACAGACAAACGTTACAACAGCAGAAGTGATATGATCATAGAATAGCTTTTCTGTTACAGAAAATTGCTGCAACATCTTAATTTAGATGATCATATAATAGCTTTTCTACTACAGACAAACATATCACAGCTGAATTTAGATGCTCATAGAATAGCATTCCTACTACAGACAAAAGATATAACAGCTGAATTTAGATTATCATGGAATAGCATTTCTACTACAGACAAAAGATACCACAGCTGAACTTAGATGATCATAGAATAGCTTTTCTACTACAGACAAACACTACAACAGCTGAATTTAGATGATCATAGAATAGCTTTCCTAATACAGACAAACACTACAACAGCTGAATATAGATGATCGTAGAATAGCTTTTCTACTACAGACAAACACTACAACAGCAGAAGTTAGATGATCATAGAATAGTTTTTCTACTACAGACAAACACTACAACAACTGAATTTAGATGGTCATAGAATAGCTTTTCTACTACAGACAAACACTACAACAGCTGAATTTAGATGATCATAGAATAGCTTTCCTAATACAGACAAACACTACAACAGCTGAATATAGATGATCGTAGAATAGCTTTTCTACTACAGACAAACACTACAACAGCAGAAGTTAGATGATCATAGAATAGTTTTTCTACTACAGACAAACACTACAACAACTGAATTTAGATGGTCATAGAATAGCTTTTCTACTACAGACAAACACTACAACAGCTGAATTTAGATGATCATAGAATAGCTTTCCTAATACAGACAAACACTACAACAGCTGAATATAGATGATCGTAGAATAGCTTTTCTACTACAGACAAACACTACAACAGCAGAAGTTAGATGATCATAGAATAGTTTTTCTACTACAGACAAACACTACAACAACTGAATTTAGATGGTCATAGAATAGCTTTTCTACTACAGACAAACACTACAACAGCTGAATTTAGATGATCATAGAATAGCTTTTCTACTACAGACAAACGCTGCAACAGCAGAAGTTAGATGATCATAGAATAGGTTTTTCTTATACAGACAAACACTACAACAGCTGAATTTAGATGCTCATAGAATAGCATTCCTACTACAGACAAAAGATTTAACAGCTGAATTTAGATGATCATGGAATAGCAATTCTACTACAGACAAAAGATACCACAGCTGAATTTAGATGATCATGGAATAGCTTTTCTACTACAGACAAACGTTACAACAGCAGAAGTTAGATGATCATAGAATAGTCTTTCAACGGCAGACACAAGCTACAACAGCTGAATTTAGATGAGCATAGAACAGATTTTCTACTACAGACAAACGCTACAACAGCTGAATTTATATTATCATATACTGGCTCTTCTACGACAGACAAACACTACAACAGCTGAATTAAGA